TAGTCGTAGTCGTAGTCGTAGTCGTAGTCGTAGTCGTAGTAGTAGTAGTAGTAGTAGTAGTAGTAGTAGTAGTAGTAGTGGTAGTAGTAGTAGTAGTAGTCGTAGTAGTAGCAGCAGCAGTAGTAGTAGTAGTAGTAGTAGTAGTAGCAGTGTGGGAGCAGTCGTACTATAGCACGTTCTTAGTAGTACTTTGGTAGTAATGTTGTAGTAATAATACTCCAGTATTGTAGTAGCAATCGTAGAGCTGAGACTTTGGCTAGGCTTTGGCTTTGGTTGAGGCTGAGGCCGACGCTACGGTTAGGCTTCGGTTTCGGTTGAGCCTTCTGTTCGGCTGAGGCTTAGACTGAGGCTGTGCATTAGGATCAGCTGATGCTTAGAATGGGGCTTAGGATGGGTCTCGGCTAAGTTTAGGCTAGGCTGAGGCTTAGGTTTAGGCTTGGCTGGCTCAGGCTGATGTTTAGGCCAGGCGGGGGCTGGTGCTTAGGTTTCGGCTGAGTATCAGGCTAGGTTTAGGCAATGCTTAGGCTGAAGCTTAGGCTAGGCTGTGGCTGAAGCGTAGGCAGGAAAGATATGAATTACATGCGTGTCCGTCACATCACCAGGAGAGTTGCGCGGTCTTCCATGTGGCGCATTCGTTGCGACTGGGCTTATGTAAATGTTACGCGTGGCAGGGTCTCCACCGCAATAGTACATACATTTGTTTCCCGAACATACCTCTGCTTCCTGACCACGGAGAGGAGCAAGAGGAGCGAGACGACGAAGAGGAAGAGGAACAATCTGAGGAGGCGAACGACGGGGATAGGATCTGCACGCCCTCGAGCCAGAAGGGGGTGGAAGTGGAGTATTGTTCTTGTCTGTGTGTTGTTTTCTTACACGTCCTTGCTCCTCGCCCTCCTCCCCTCCCTTCCAGGAGTTGTGTCCGCTTGGTGCGTAGCAGACTTCACCAAGAAGCTTGGGTCATTGTTATCCAGTGGTGTGCGGCCTATCTCTCCATATAGCGCAGTACAACACACGACGATACGATGCAATGCAGTGCAAATGCAATGCAAAGCAGCACACAACAACACAATACGACGCAATGGATTACAGCATAGGATATCAAGCACCGCATTGTTTGGAACAGCTGTTCAAACAAGTAGAGTTCGCCAGGGACTCTATTTGATTTTTCCGAATAACATTGAATTCAGCCCCCCTGTACCACCGCCCTGTATGCCAGATCGACCAGAGAGAGGATCTGGAAATTGGGAAACATCTTGATATTTTGAAGCATAGACAATTAAATTTAGTCCAAGCGAGACCGCAATTATTTGGAACAGCGGTTCAACAAAAAAACATATTTCGCCAGGGACTCGATTTAGGACTCAACATTGCTTTACTTTTCAAGTTTTCCAGAGCCCCTGGGCCTCCCTGGACCACCGCCCTGTATGCCAGATCGACCGGACAGGCTACGTAAAATTCAAAAACACACAAATTAGAATCAATACATCGAGTCTCTGGCGAGAGCGCAATTATTTGGAACAGCGGTTCAAAGAATATCAGATTTCGCCCGGGACTCGACTTCATTGTTTTAAATGTTTATTTTAGTGTCTCATTTTTCCAGAGCCCCTCTGGGCGACGAAATTCAGGTGGCTGTCCCAGGGAGGCCCAGGGAAAGTACAAATGTTATACACCAATGTTTTTTTTGAATCAAAAGGATCGCCTCACGCGCCCCCTCAAAAAAGTTAAACAACAACGAAAAATAAACATCGTTTCACATACTCCCCGAAGTTCGTCTCAAGAGGGGCCGCCACCCTGTATGTATATACACACGTATATGTGAATATTTGTGTATATATATATATATATATATATGTGTAGATCTGCATGTGTATATGTACATACACATGCATTCATTTATACACTGGTTTAGTTAGTTGTGAATACACATATGTATATGGAGAGGTCCATATAAGTACACGCACGCACATTTTGATTCCTGCGGGGCGTTGTGTCATGAGTGGCCTCTTTCTCGTGCCTATCCTGCTGTACCCGCCGCACCTGAACGTTGGTGGCCCGTGGCTCTTGGCTCTCTTGTTGCTTTTTCCAGGGCGAGGGGCCGCATGGCGATCCAGGCGTTTCCAGTCCGCAGTCGGACACTCGGAGCACCCAGCCAATCTAGCTTCGATGTGCACTTCTTCGGGGGAGGGCGGGCCTCGTAGCAGATGCTGCGGAGTTCAATTTGTTCAGCTGCCAAGCAGCAACACCAGTTTTGAGTAAACTTGTGTGTTCCATCGGATATTGGTTTCTTCACGATCTGGAAGTAGACATACATGTGTATTACGTATACAGGGTTGCCGTGCCCCTTCGCATGTTTTACCCGGCTTTTGTTGCGTGCCTCGGAAATGCAGCATGTGTTGGTGAATCACATGATGCGGATTTGTGACAGCAGTCTCTGACAGCAGTGAAGCGATGCTCGTCCTTCACATTGGCGTTCTGGATTGCTCTGCATGTGAGTGGCAAGGCATTCGAGTTGACTGAGAGCCTTGGCTCAACAACTGCGGTGCTCGCGTTGCTGGAGCGCTCTCTATTTGTAACCGGTCCAGTGTGCATTGCCTTTCTATGTTGCCAAATTTGCAGTCCGATTGCCGCAATGAATGAACATGTCTTATTTGCTAGTCGGTGCTCCGTCTCTCTTTCTCTTTCTCTTTCTCTCCCTCTCTGTCTCTCTCACTCCATCTCCCTTGATTCACCATGTGCCGCTACCCCTCTTAACGTGTTGACGTTTTCCTCTCGCACCGTATCCACTGGGCATTCTCTTGCGCACGCTGCCCACATGAATTCAGCATTGACTCCTGCAATGCCCTGGAATATCCTAGCTCGCTGGCTTGCCGCTGATCCCAAGGACAACAGCACCAAGATTCACGGCAAGCCGCATCCCATGATCGCGGTAGCCCGCCTATTTGTTGTTCAATGTGGTCGTAAGTTTGTTGTTGGGTTCACCAAGTGTTTCTGAACAGCAAATGTTGCATGGGTTCATTCAACGTTTCCCTGGGCTGGGCAATCCCACTTTCGAAATCGGTCTGCTGCGGCGGTGCAGTGCGGTGCTAACTTCGCATGATTCGAAGTATTAGTGGCCCTTCGCGGTGCGGTGCAGTGCGGTGAATGGTTTCATGTAAGGGCTCTCGTAAATCAACCAAATATGCCGTTCGTGGAGGTACTTTGTCATTGTGCGCGCGCTCTGTCAACATTTTCGAACATTAGTTTTCGCCAATGAAGGTGTTGCGCGGTGCCGTGCGTTGCCGTGTCTGCGCGCCCTGCAACGTAGCCAGTCGTCCGCGGGGGTGTCGTGCGCTGCCTCGGATTGCGAAGGCCTTCCGGCCGGCGCTGCCGACCCTGAAGGGAGACGACGACTCACGACGACGACGACGACTCACGACGACGACGACGACTCACGACGACGACGACGACGACGACGACGACGACGACAATGGCGGTGGCGACGACGACGACGTCGCTGACGTGGGCCAGAGTCCTCAGGGATGATTCTCGGGGTCTCTTCGAAAGGCTTTCTTGGGGGAGGAATTGTTGGGCCTCTTGGGAGCCTCTTGAGGGCCTCTGCGGCCTTCCTGGGCGCCTGTTGTGGACCTCTTGGGGCCTCGTGTGACCTCTCAGGGCCTCCTGGGCCTCTCGGGGCCGAGGGTTCGAAATGTCCGTTCGGGTCCCCCGTCTGCACGATTTTGGAGCCGTCTTGGGGGCCTCTTCTTGGGCCGTCTCGGAGGCGTTTGGGGCTGCCTTGCGGTCCTTTTGGGCTGTTTTGGGGTTCTTTTGGAGGCCTCTTGGGCCGTTTTGGGGCGATCGTTTTGGGCCTCTTGCGCCGTTTTGGAGCGGCGGGAAATGGAAAAAACAAGAACGCTCAAATCTAACCTCCCCCCCCAAAAACAACAACGGGGAATCAATGAGTCTGGCCTCTTTGGGCCATGTCGGGAGTGTTTCTGGAAGCTTCTTGGGACGTCCTGGAGGCCTCCTGGGCAGTCTGGAGGGCGTGACAGTGTTTTGGACCGATCGTTTGGCGATTGGGGGCCCTATTGGACCGTCTCGGGGGCCTCTTGGGGCGCTGTTGGCTTGTCTTCGTAGTTTGTGAGGCCCCGGGATTCCCAGAAGGGGGTGCGTATCTGACCCCCCCCCGACCACCCTCCCCGACCACCCCCTGGGGACCCCTCCCCCCGACGGGGGAGGGATCAAAGGGAATGGGCTTCCCTCCCACTCGATTGCGACATTGCTTGGTTGGTGCTTGCACGTGAAGGAAGTCTCGGGGTGATTTCAAAGCTGTCGCCCCTTTGGTTCCGCACCTTGTGCTACCCATTAGCTTCTCTGGTCCCGTTTTGAATGGTCGTTGTGGCCACCCCAGGGGCCGCCGCCGCCGCCCCAGCCTGGGCCGTGCTGGCGCTGGAGGCAGCTTCGTTCTTCGCGCCGGGCTGGGGCGGAGGATCACAAAGCTGTCCGGACCTGAGCTGCCCCGCCTGCCCGGCGTGCCCGGAGGCGGCGGCGTGCGCGGCTTGCCCGGCCTGGGAGCCGCCACCCAGTGCTGCTTGCCAGCCCTGTGTGCCAGAGGCGACGCTGGGAGAGCGGTCGGCGGACAAGGTTGTGAGCGCGGTGATCGGCGGCCTGGTGCACTGGCTTGTGGCGAGCGTTAAGGCTGCAAAGGGCGGCACGTGAGCATTCCCTTGTCTCCGTAAAAGAAATGTTCAGTCCGCGTTGCCGCCTGATGATTCGAAATTTCTAAACGCACTTTGCTGCGCTTGCTGTTTGATGCCTCGAGCAGCGATTGCCCGAGGGGTCCCGCGGCGCACCTTTAATGGGGGGTCGCGTCCGACCAGCTTGCGAACCCGCGGGCCTGCCGGCGCCCCGCTGTGCGCTGGCCGCGCCGTGCAGCGTGGCGCACCGTGCTGCGCCGCGCGTCGTCCCCTGCCACGTCGAGCGTCGCCCGGGGCGTTGGCGACGGTGCCAACTCGCGAGTCCGCGGGCCGCGCCGCGCCGTGGCGCGCGCCTCGCCGCTCCGCCGCGCCGCGCCGCTCTCCCCGTCGTGCCGTGCCGCTCCGCGCGGGCGACCGACCGCGCAAACCGGTGAATCTTCGGAGAGCGGTATGCCGTCCCGCGCCGCGCGCCGCGTCGAGCCGCGCCGCGCGCCGCTTAGTTCTCCGAGCTGCGAGTCGCGACCGCGCATCGCGAACTGCGGTTTCTGTCCACGCGAAGAGGCCCGACACATGCCCAACATGTACACAACATGTACACCACCCGTGAACCACTTTTACATCACTTTTACACCACCGCTCCACCATTTCACACTATTGTTCACCACGTTTACACAACTTGCACATTACTCCTACACCAATTTAGCACAACTTGCTACACCAGGCTTACACCGCATATACGCCGCATTCACCACAGCCCGCACTTCGCGCACACCAGGGACTCCCAGAGACCCCGCCCGCGCCCCCAGGAATACAGCGAAACCGCTTGGGATCAGGATTGTAATGACACAATGCAGTTCGCGGGGGCCAACAGGGATTGGAAAACGCGCCCGGGAATACACCAGAGGACTCGAATTCAACAGCCCGAAGATGTGCACCTTTCTTATATCACTGCTATACCACTTCTATATTATTCAAACACAAACACGTTTACATTACTTGTACACCAGCGCTACACCATTTTATATACTTTTACACCACTTCTACAAACTTGTACATTACTTTGACACCACCACTTGTTATACCAGGCTTACACCGCATATGCACCACTTTTACCCCAGCCCGCACTTCGCGCACACCAGGGACTCTCGGGGACCCCGCCCGCGCCCCCAGGAATACGGCGGAACCGCTTGGGATTAGGATTGGAATCGAACGGTGCAGCTTGCGGGGGCCAAAAGGGATTGGAAACCGCGCCCGGGAATACACCAGGGGACACGAATTCAACAGCCCGAACATTGTGCACCTTTCTCACATCACTGAGACACCACTTCTTTACGACTTTAACACAACTGTTACACCAGTTGTACACCACGTCTGCGCCAACTTTAACAACATCTTACACACCACATCTACACGCATTCACACCACAAATGTACACCGCATGTACCACGTGACACATACATTTGCAAAGCGCTCTTGCGCCCTCTCGTGGACTGAATGGTTTTGCATTGGTGAGCTGTTGATTCGCTTGCGCGGGCCACGCGCGGCGCGCGCTGGTTTGACGTGCCAATGGCCGCCAGGGTCGCGACCGCCGCGTCTCCGCCTTTGCGCGGAGCTCGCGAAGCACGTGTTCCCGTGCACGCGCGCGCCAGTTGAGTTTCTATCCGCTCCTCAACATGAGCCCCCCCCCCCCCCCCTAGAGATTCAGCGTTGCGCGCAGGTCATGTTATTTGAGGCCCTGGGGCGGTTCTTTCGCAGCCTTGGCGATGATGGGGCCCGTTGGTCCGACTTCCTGCAGCCGCCCCCCCGCGCGGGCCCCGTCGACCGAGGCGATTGTCCTGCCGTTGCGGACCGCCCTGGAATTTGCGCTTCGCCAGAGAGAGAGAGAGAGAGAGCACGCAGAACGCATCGCCTCCTGCCGCCGCCGCCGCCGCGACTTCTACATCGCGGCTCGCCGCGGCCGCGCTCGATCGCCGATGGCCTGCGAGAAAAATAGTTCGATGAGCAAAGCGACAGATCATCGAACATTTTGCGAAGATGAGTAAAACAGCCCAGCGGAGGTCAGCGGCCCTCGCGCGCTTGCCCTGGGACTTAGGAACAGGCCCGATACACTGCTGCTGGGTGCCTTTGCAGCCGTCACGCTGGCGAGAGTGATCGGCAGGCGACCGCGCGTCCGCACCGTCACAGCGTGGCTCCGCGGCGCCGAGGGGTCGGGGCGGTGGACTCAGACTCTCCCAGGAGGCCGCGTGGTCCGCCGGTCCGGCGATGACCAGGTCGACCACTAGCGGGCGTCGTTGCATGTATACGCGTCCGAAGGTGGTCTGGCAGCGCAGACGCCAGGCGGCGACGTGCACGCTGGGGGCTCGAGCTGCAAGGGCCCCGAGACGGGGCCGCCGCGAGCCATCCCCCCGGCAGCGCGGCCGAGAAAGCTGCGACCTTTTCAGTGGCTCCGCGAGGAGAGATGGGGCCCGAAGAGCTGGCCGACGCGCCCCCTGGCGGGCCAGGCGACGGCGCTGGAGATCGAGGCGGGCCTGCCTCGGCCGCTGGAGGCGCCGAGCTCCGACGGCCGCGCGGCCCCCTGGCGCGAGCGTTGGCTGCGGGTCGCGCCCCCCGCTGCGCTTGGGCGCGGCCGCGGCTGGGATGGGCGGTCGGCTGCTCGCCCCCCCGTGGCCGGCCCAGATGTGGGCGGCTCTCAGCGGGGGCCCAGGCGTCGAGATCGGTTCAGTGGTGTCGACGCGCTCAACATCGAGGGGGTGGGCTTCGAGGGGGCGCCCGAGACGCGCGGCGCGACGAGGGGCCGCCCGGCGCGGCCCGCGCGCCGCGAGGTGGGCGCGGCGTTCGCGCGGGTGGCTGGAGAGGCGGTCATCTTGTGAGGTTTGGACGCATCGGCCGCGCCCGCCCCTTCCGAGGGCCGCCGTCGGCCAGGGCCCCTCGCGGCGCCAGAGCCGACGCCCTTCGCCGAGGCGGTGGACGGCACGGCTACGCCGGAACCAAGGCTGCCTGCTGGCCCGCCTGGCGACCATGGCGAGGAGGTTCGAGAGGGCGCCCGCGTCCTCTGGGTCGACTTCGGCGAGCAGGGGGGGAGGAAGCGGCGGCGCGACGCGGTTCTGGAGTCGCCAGGAGCGCTACCCAGACGCGCCGATCGAGGGCCCGCCCGGGGTTGTCCACGCGCGCAAGCACGCGATAAAGAACGGAGGCGACCCGCGGCTTTGGCTTCAGATCTTCGTCCGCATGAAAGGGTCGGGCGCCGCATATC